AGGAGCCTGTTGGCCTGGCCAGGCTGACTGGTGGCGTCCCCTTGCTATCGGCCAGGGTGACATGGGGGGCGCGCGGACGCTGCAGAGGAAGTGGACCACGTTCCTGAAGGCGAGGCTGGTGTGCTCTGCCCCCAACTGGCAGCTCTACTTCAACCAGCTGCAGGCACTGCACACCCTGCAGGACACCTCTTGGCACAACACCACCTTCTTTGGGGTTTTTCGGGCAAGATGGTGAGTTGGCCGGGAGTCCTTGGCAGGGGTTGGAGGAGCAGGTTTGCTGTGTGGGATGATTGACAGGTGCAGGCCTCTGGGGGAAGTCCAGGTAGTCAAGGAGGATGTTGGCCACCTGCCCCTTTCCAAAGCCCCACGTGGGAGGTGGGCTGTGCCCTGCCCTGGTGGCACTTTGAACTGCCACCGCATCACGCGTGCCCATGACCTTTTTCTCTTGGGCCTTGCTTTCCGGCTACATGCGCTGAGCTGTGGAAAAGTGGGCACCAGGCCTGATTCTGGGGCTGCTTCCCATGCCTTGACAGGGGCGATGTGGACCTGTCAGCAGTCTGCGAGTACCAGTTGGAAGAGATCCAGAGGGTGTTCGAGGGGCCCTACAAGGAGTACCACGAGCAAGCCCAGAAGTGGGGCCGCTACACCGACCCAGTGCCCAGCCCGCGGCCTGGCTCGGTAAGTTGTCCGGGGCAGGGATGCACTCAGACCCTGCGCTCCCGCGCCATTCCCACCAGGCTGACAGCTCTCCCCCCGACCCCCTAGTGCATTAACAACTGGCACCGACGCCACGGCTACACCAGTTCTCTGGAGCTGCCCGACAACACCCTCAACTTCATCAAGAAGCACCCGCTGATGGAGGAGCAGGTAGAGCCCCGGTGGGGCCGGCCCCTGCTCGTGAAGAAGGACACCAACTTCACCCACCTGGTGGCCGACCGGGTCACGGGGCTTGATGGAGCCACCTACACAGTGCTGTTCATTGGTACAGGTAGGCGCATACCCATGGGCACGGCTCCTGGAGGCTGGGTGGGGGCCTGGGGGCCTGGGGCAAGGAGATCCAGAAACATTTCCTTTACACCTGTCCCCCCCAATCCCACAGGAGATGGCTGGCTGCTCAAGGCGGTAAGCCTGGGACCCTGGGTCCACCTGATCGAGGAGCTGCAGGTGTTTGACCAGGAGCCCGTGGAAAGCCTGGTCCTGTCCCGGAACAAGGTAGTAATCAGGCCCTACTCACCACTGTCCCCACACCTTCCCTGGTTGTGTGCTTGGCTAGTGCAGAGGTCGGGAGACGCTCCAGCTACCTCGGGTAGCTTGAGGCAAGACCAGGGAATGAGCGCGCTAACGGAATCTGCACCCCACGGGCATCATGTATGTTATATATAGTCTGGCCCTTGTGGGGCTGTGTTCCCAGAACCAGTCCCCTGGAGGTTGTGCTATGCCTGGCTACACCCGGCCTCTTCTCTGACGGTGCCACTGCGGGTGCCACTGTTGGCCAGACCTCCAGCTGTGTTTGTCACAATGCCTTCCTGATGTCACCTTGCCTGCCAGCCCTGGTAGCCCTCCAGCCTCCGCCCCTGATGGCCTTTGGGGTTCCCTGAAGTGCCGCTTGCATCTTCCCTCCCATGGTACCCTCTTCTGGCCTGTCTTTGCTCTTTCACGTGCTCGCCTTTTACCAACTCTGGCAGTTCAGATTGTTCCCCAGAATGTGGGGTAATGGCAGAAAGAAAGTCCATGGTTGAAGAAACACACAGATTGGCAGTTGCCATTCCAACAGAGGAAAACGCCTTTGCTCTGCTGGTGCTATTGTGAGGCTGACGGGCCTGCGGAAACTGTTCTTCCTGCGCTATTTATACTGTCCTGGAGTTTTGTGTGTGTGTGTGTGTGTGTGTGTGTGTGAGTGTGATTATACTTCTCGGCCTCGCAGGTCTGCCTTTCCTTTCTAATAAGGTCACGTCTCTAAGATGCTTATGATTGCATCTGGCTTCAGTAAGCCCTCTGTGTGTTCTGGGTCTTCAGGACTTGAGCATGGCCCTCTTCCTCCTCAGGGCACCTTTCGCCCTTGCGCCCCCGGCCACCAGACCTGGTGGTATCCGGGCCCGGCTCACCCTCCCTCCTGTGCTTCTCTGGCAGAAGTTGCTCTTCGCGGGCTCCCGCTCCCAGCTGGTGCAGCTGCCCCTGGCCGACTGCATGAAGTACCGCTCCTGTGCCGACTGTGTGCTCGCCCGGGACCCCTACTGTGCCTGGAGTGTCAATACCAGCCGCTGCGTGGCCGTGGTCGGCCACTCCGGGTGAGCAGGGCTCTGCACGGGTCGGGACCAGGCGGGGAGGGGAGGGTGCTTGGAGCTCTGACATTGACGGACTCTGCTTCCCCCACCAGGTCCCTGCTGATCCAGCACGTGACAGTCTCAGACACCTCGAACATCTGTAACTTCCGGGGCAATAAGAAAGGTGAGCTATCTCTTGAGTCCCCCGGGTAGGGGTATGGTGAGGAGACCTTGGGCCAGAGCCCGAGCGTCTGCATCTCCCCTTGGCCCTGGGCTTTCTGCACTAATCCTCTACTCTCCTTTCTTTGCCGCTGCAGTCAGGCTCACGCCCAAAAACATCACAGTGGTGGCGGGAACAGACCTGGTGCTGCCCTGCCGCCTCTCCTCCAACCTGGCGCACGCCCGCTGGACTTTTGGGGGCCGGGACCTACCCGCAGAACAGCCAGGTTCCTTCCTCTATGATGCCCGGCTGCAGGCCCTGGTGGTGATGGCCGCCCAGCCCCGCCACGCCGGGGCCTACCACTGCTTCTCGGAGGAGCAGGGGGCGCGGCTGGCTGCCGAAGGCTACCTGGTGGCAGTGGTGGCTGGCCCATCAGTGACCCTGGAGGCCCGGGCCCCCCTGGAGAACCTGGGGCTGGTGTGGCTAGCTGTGGTGGCCCTGGGGGCCGTGTGCCTGGTGCTGCTGCTGCTGGTCCTGTCGTTGCGCCGGCGGCTGCGGGAGGAGCTGGAGAAAGGTGCCAAAGCAGCGGAGAGGACCCTGGTGTACCCTCTGGAGCTGCCCAAGGAGCCCAGCAGTCCCCCCTTCCGGCCCGGCCCCGAGACGGATGAGAAGCTCTGGGATCCTGTCGGCTACTACTACTCGGACGGTTCCCTCAAGATCGTGCCTGGACACGCCCGGTGCCAGCCCGGCGGGGGCCCCCCCTTCTCCGCCCCCTGGCATCCCTGGCCAGCCCCTGCCTTCTCCAACGAGGCTGCACCTGGGGGGCGGGCGGAACTCCAACGCCAATGGTTACGTGCGCTTACAGCTTGGAGGGGAGGACCGGGGCGGGCTCGGCCACCCCCTGCCCGAGCTCGCGGACGAACTGAGGCGCAAACTGCAGCAGCGCCAGCCGCTGCCAGACTCCAACCCGGAAGAGTCCTCGGTATGAGCGGCGGCGGGGGCAGCGGCTCCCACTTTTGCACAGGCACCAGCTACCTCAGGGACATGGCGCGGGCACCGACTTGCCCGGGACGGACCCTGCCCGGCCTCGCCCGGCCATGAGGACCTGCTCTATCAGCACGGGCACTGCCACTCGATGTGGTCACCAGGGCACCAGCCTCCCAGAAGGCCCCTTCCTCTGTTGTGAGGGGCTGTGGATCACGGACACGTGGGACCCCAGCAGCCAAAATGTTTCCAGGCAGAAGCTGGAGATGTGGATGTGTTTGTGTACATACATGTGTGTATGTGGGTGTGTGTGCGTGCGCCTGTGTGCCTGTGTGTGACAAAGTCTTCCTGTTTCTGTCAAGTCTTCCCTTGGCCTGGGGTCCTCCTGGTGGGTCATTGGAGCTATGAAGGGGAAGGGGTTGTATCACTTTGCCTCTCCTACCCCCACCTGTTCGCAGTGTGGGGTGGCCATGTACATATGGGGGTGGGCTGGGCAGGGTGCTGTGCCCCTTTTGGGGAGTACAGGGCTCTGGGGCGGGCCTAGTCCCGCTCTCAGGGCTGTGAATGTTTTCAGGGTTGGGGGGAGGGAGATGGAGCCTCCTGTGTGTTTGGAGGAAGGGTGGGAGGGGCCTCCCACTTGGCCCTGGGGTTCAGTGGTATTTTATACTTGTCCTCCCTGGCAGGGCTGGGAAAGGTTGTGTGGGGGGAGGTGGAGGGAAAGGAGAGCGGTGGGGGTGCTGTGGATGTTGCATATCCTCTCCCAGCCCTAGGAGGAGGGCTCCGAACTGTGTAATTTATTGTGTCCCCGCGTATTTATTTGTTGTAAATATTTGAGTATTTTTATATTGACAAATAAAATGGAGAAAATGAAACTGTTTCTGTCATGGAGATAAGACATTTGGGCTAAAACCTGGGTGCCAAGAGGGAGGCTCCCTGTGGGTTGAGTGAGGCTGGACTGCCCCCACTCCCAGTTCAGGGGCAGCTGCCCCTTCAGTGGTCCCCACCTGCCAGTGCCCCTCTCTGGAGGGGCGATGGCCCAAACTCCAGTGTTTTCCCACAGTGGTGGCTTGGGCTGGGAACCAGACCAGGGCCACAGCCTCTTGGGAGCCAGCCTTGGCTTCTGGCCGAAGGGAGAAGTCAGGGCATTGGGAGTAGAAGCAGAAGAGGAGGAGGGAGGGGCCTGGCTTCCCAGAACCCTGGGAAGGGGAAGGGGGAGTGGGGGTGGGGGAACTTCCTAGAAGCAGCTTAAGTTGTGTGGATCTACTTGTGTGAGGATGAGGCTCCCAATCAGCTCCCTGGTCGCAAGATTACTTTCAGCCTTCTACCCTCCAGGAATGCTACTTGAATGTTTCAGCTGCATGGGATGTGGAACTTCACTGCCACCCAGTGCACACCAAGCCCCTGTCCTATGGAAGGAGCTACACAGGGCCCAGATATTTGTAAGAAGAACAGGACCCAGCCTGGGTTCTATAATTCATGCCCACCCATAGAGGCAGTCGAAGTGATGTCCTCCGTACCCTTGACGGTTCTGGACGTCCTGCTGTGGCTGGAACAGGCTGCTGCCCGCGTCCTGCTGTAGAAGAGGGCTGGCATCTGCTGACTTGAGCATGCTACGCTTCCTGCACGGTCAGTATCCATCAGCCCCACAGCCGGTAGAATGTTTTAATGGAAGAAGGCTGATTCAGTAAACCAGGTGCTCATCATGGGGTTGACGGGGAGGAGGGGAGCGGGAGGGGAGGTGGAGCTGGGCGGGGGTGTGGGGGAGGTGGAGGAGTGGCTAGGGGGTGTTCCAGGCTCTATCCCTGCCCTCTGGGCCTACGTGCAGGTACGCCCAGCAGCAAAATAAGTTGTGACCACCTGCCTCCCACGGGGTTTCAAGAAATGGGCTGGAGGGGCGCGAGGAGGGAGGATGTCGCGCGGCCTTTCAAGTGGTCACCGCAGCGGCGGTGACCGTCTTCCTGAGTCCGGGGTGGTGCGGATAACAGTCGGGGAAGGACCTTGGGGCGTCCCTGGCAACCCCCTGCCCTGCGGAGCTCGGTGGGACGAGGAGAACCTGGAGGGCGCCGCATTACTGCTCTTGGCCGGCCTGGCCACCCTCCCCAGAAGTCGGGTCCAGGTCCCAGCTGGCCGCGCCTCGGCCTCCCCTTAGCCTGGGACGCCCTCGCGAGGCCGCTTAGGTC